GTTTGGTTTTTAATTGCCGCTCAGCTGTGCTGGACGCACGTGATAATTGCTCATTTTATGACGCATTTATCAAAGACCATTTCGAGGTCTCGTCCTTGGCATTGTCCTTTGTTCGCCCAGCCGTCGCAGTTGTTGATTTTTTGCATCACGCTGTGTCTGACAGCCGGACGAGAATACTCCTCTGTCTCGTCTCGAGTCGACTCCCGATCCGGATCTACTATCCCCTGTACTACTTCAGTCTCAGATCCGCAGTCACGCGTCATTTATTTGGCCGTGACAGATCCAGTCTTGATTGCAGTTTCCTACTGCAGGGACTAAGGAAATTGAAATTATTTTCAGAACAGATGAGGCTTGAAAGAAACATAAAAGGGGTTCTGGGAAGAAAGTTCAGCTTAAAGTAGTTGGTTTTCTTTAAATCGATTTTCCCTTGAAGTGCTAATATATTAAATAAATTGATATCGGCCTCCTGTTTGTTTGCCAAATCTTTCAACATGATTTCATTTGATTTATTTGTCGGATTAAGTCCTTATCAATAGCCGCCATATATCACCATGATCTTATCTGTTGGTTGAAGCGGAAGTTGTATACAATTAATACTTAATACCCAAAATGGCAATAAAAATTGATGCCATCAATTTATCATTTTAGAATCCTGCACGTGTCAACTTGTAGGTAGTACCATTTTTGCCGAGACCTATGTTCCCGTATCTTTTTCCCCCCCAGGAGAGGCATTGAAAACGATTAATTTGCTTTATTAATCCAACCAGCAATGCCGCACAGGGGATGCCCGCAGTTGGCAAAAACGAATCCCTTTTTTTGGTGCATTACCGTAAAATTTCAATGTCACCATTATTTTTTTTGCGTTTTTTGGGCAACTATTACGAGATAAATCGTTGTCGATAAATTATCGACAGGCGGCAGGCGGAGCTCGGACTCGGATTCAGTTGGGTAGACACAGCGGGACACCCTCCATCCTGCATCCCCTTTGAGGATTTCAGTTTATTTTTTAGGGATCCGTTGCTGTGTGCCTGCTTAGTTCACTTTCATACGGTTCTATTGAATTTATTGCAGTTTGTTTTTCAATTTTTTAAATGGCATTTTGGCCCTCCCCATTTCGGAAGTGAGTTATTGTTGTGCTGCACGGCACGTAGACGCATTCAAATCGGAAGTAATTATGGCAAAACATGTAGAAAACGGGTTTTATTAAAAAAATGCATGACTTTCGGAAGTTTGTCAGGTCAAGCGTGAAACTTTTCATAAATACTTACCTTTTTGTTGAAGAAAAACATTCTTTTATTTTAATATTAAAATTTTGTTGCTCTTAAGACCCTGTAATGTATAGCCGTCCTGATTATTTTTTACTGCCAAGGCGGCCCAAAACAAAAAGGCATCCGAAATAAAGCAATTATCGTCCTTCGGTTGGGGGTTCTTTCTTGTGCGTAAGTCAACTGAAAATCCGCAGACAGTTAAACGACTTTCCCTTCCCAGGGCAGAGCCCCCCTACTACCCTGGGCACCCACTTCACGGATATATATACCTTCATATTGCCGGAGATAATGTCAAATTTATTGCATTATTTTTCGCTCCTTTTGCCGGGTAGTTGTGTTGTGCATGCGTGCCCCCTACTACTGCCACAGGCATCATCCACCGCCCGCCCATCGCCACTTCATGGTGCTCTGCCCCCACCCACACCCACTCCCACTCCCCACTGTTGTGCATAAATCAAAAGGTAAATGGCTGCATTTTTATGACTGCGCCGCCATCGTCGTCGTTCATCGTCGTTCGCCTTGGCGCTGCTTCGCTTTTATCACACAAACATTTCTGTGATAATAAATGCCATAAAAATGAAGAAATATGTGGTTAATTTTATGTGCTGCCCCTCCTCGCTCGCCCGCTCGTGTTGTTCTTGTTTCCCCTGGCCTGGCTCCGGGGCACTTCCTTTTTATATTCCTCATATAAATGTTTTCGCGGCTACAAATTCCCTCCCCCACTACATCTGAATATTGCTCAGTGCTTTCTCAGTCCCAGGATATCAGGACTATAAGCTCCATTACAAATTTTTTTGAATTTCAGCTGTTTTTTTTACGATTTTCCTTCATTTTAAATACAATGTAATGCGATCATAATCCCAAAATCCAAATATCCTCTTGTGAAAATTAAGTAATCAAATGTAAATAGCTCCAGGGCGAGCATTGCCTGAGAAGCAAATCGCTTTAGTCACGGTATCAAGGTGTTCCACACTTCCGCGTACCATTTTCTTTGGCTTCTTGTAATTTATAATATTTTTGTATTATTTATATGACGCCCCCCAGCCACCGGTTGGAGGTTGCTTCCATTTCAGCCCACTCCCGCGATTTGCTAGTAAATAATTCACATGCAGAAGCACCAAATTTATGACGCTGACAAAGTGGCCATAAAAAATAACAAATAATAAAGGAAAATGCTTACGAACGTGTGCGTAAACTCTCTAACTCGACTGTACCTTAACATAAATACGACCGTTCTTATATACATATTTATTTTGGCAACACTTTGTGTACTTTTTGTAGCCGTTTTACTTTGCACGCAAAACCGCAAATTATGTCTAAGCCGGATCGTAAAGTATAGCAGCACGCTCTTACCTAATAAATCCATCATATTCACCGAAGGTCGAGTCATTTCCTACTACCTGCCCGGAGGACTACCAGGTATTTCTAAGCCGAGATTTAAGCGGAGAATAACTCTTATGGAAGTGTATGTCTAAATACTCTGGTTTCAGGATTAAAATTGTCGCTTCTCGGGTCCGGCTTATAGCCCATATTTACACAGATTTTAATTTACTTGACAGGGGCTTTGCTGAGTAATACGTCTGGCCCTGGTGATTAGGTAACATCTTTAACGGGTAGATATTCCAAAACTTTTTCAAAGTACCTTTAATACTGGGTTAATGCTGGAGCTTAGGGATTTTTTGAAGATTTTAAAGACTTATTTTAGGTGGTTTCTAGTTTAATCTACAAAAAGGACAACCTATTCCTTAACGTTTTAAAGAGGTCCTTAAATCTTTCTTGCTAGATCATAATAATTAGCATATAATGTATCCAAAGTTATTTTCAATCAAATACCATATATTCTGCGTGGCATACGCATTCGTCACCAGTATTTTATCTCTTCAAGAAGTTTGTTTATTTTATAGGTTACTTTTTAGAACGCTGCATTTCTAGATTTATCCACGCCCACTAAAGGGTTCACCATAAAATTCTAATTGAAACGTCAAGGCTTTAACAAAAATTAAAGTTAAAAGTAGTTCGTAGGACAAGCAAAAATCATATTTGTACATTATAACATATAACTCAATATTCCATTAAGCTAATGTATCATTAAAAAATTTAATTATTGTTCATAATTCCGGACAGATTTTAAATGTAACTTTTGAATGATTGATAATAAAAAAAAACTTTTAAGAACGGTATTTTGAACGGTATTTCTGATGATTAAGAAAGAAATTTCATAATTTTGTAACTAATATCCTTTTCAAATATTGTAATAAATGTAATTATATTATTAAAACTGCACCAGAAACTCCCTTAATTCCTGGATACCAATATTAATAATTAATTCGCTCCGTGCCAGAGTACAAGCGAATAAACAAATGACGTGTGAACTGGAAAACACAATCCCATTCCAGGCCGATTAAAAATGCAGCGGAATTAAACAAACCATTAAACTATTACCAACTTTTAAAGTGCAACATGCCGCTACTCGCACACAAAGTGGCCACCTGCCCCTCCTCATGCGGGCATTTGTTTGATACGTGTAGATTAATTAAGCCACACACATCCCCAACAAAAAGTGGAAAAATTGCTTGGAAAAACTTTTCGACGCGACAACAAAACAACGATTTCCACTTAAACAGCGTAACAGGAGCCACAAAACAAAACAGAAAAAAAACGAAGGAAAACCAACCGCAGAAGTTAATCGAAAAACGCTAAACAAAGGCCGCAGCGCCGCTGTGTATGGGTGGGTGGGTGGTCGACCGAGAAAGAGACAGGGAGACCGAAAGAGAAGGCGAGCGAACAAGCGACAAACAAATTAATTTTTATATGACATTAAAACGAGCGAAGCGAGGCGATGGAAATGGCTGAAGAGTGTGTTTAAGTGTTGAGTGGTTTGCTTCGAGAGTTCGAGGAACAAATCTCAGTCCGAAGACAATGAGACCTCGCCGCCGACCCCCGACCCGCGTTTCTGCTGTCGCTGCTGCTGTTGACAGCCCCATCAGGCATCAAAGAGAGCTGGGGAGCGTGAGTGACTGAGGGAGCTCGTGACATACATATGTGCGAAGATAAAATTATTGGCTCCCAATTTTTGTCCATAATTTTTTCCAATAACAAAATTTCGTTGTTTGCCTGAAAAACTAGTTAAAATAAAACAAATGAAATCAAAAACATTAATGGAATACTCTTTTCCCCACTGCATTAAATATATTTAAGATCATTTGCATTTTTCATAAATTAGTACTAACTAGGATGCCCAAATTTTAACAATACAAGAATAAAAAAATCTAAAAATTTATCGTAGTTTAGTATAGTGGATTAGGCCTCTCGGGGATACCACTATAAAAAAAAAACGCGTATTAATTTTATCTTCACACGTACATATGTCACGCACTCTCTGCCACAGTCGCTGCCGATGTCGCAGCCATTCATCGCCCCACAGAGCGGCGCTCTCGCCGCTCAACTGTTGCTCTCGAAACGAGTGTTGCCGTGGTGCAGCGAGAGCACCGGAACCTGTCCGCCTGCCATTGCAGGGCGCATGCGATTGTGTGATTGGCAAAAAGTACGCCATATTTGAAAATTACAGGCATGGCCTCTCGCTCGCACACAGCAGTCGCCGCTGCTCTGACCTTCACGCCATACGAGAGTGTGCAGCGCTGCTAACCAGTTCTGAGAGCGAGAGAGCCGAGAGAGAGAGAGTATCTGAGTATCTGACGGCTTCACTCCGACAGTAGCTACGCTCATTGTCGCATCCGACGGATTCAATTCGATTTCAGACTTCAGAGCGTTCGGACGTGTTCGGAAAAAATACACTGAAGCCACCCCGGAGTGTCTTGAAAGCAAACCCAGTGGAAAGCAGTCAGTCAACTGTTGTCGCTGATCGAGAGCGTTTCGTTTCGTTCGTCGAGTGAAAAGTGAAAACCAAGTCCAAGCACCGTTTTTGGCCAAAATAACAAAAAGTGATTCAGAGCCAGAGCCGAACTAGCCTCTGCTCAAAACTAAAAGTGTGAACTTCAATCATTTTGGATTACAATTGCCGTCGCATTTTTGTGGATTACCTTCTTCATCGGCGCCGAAGCGAAGCTACAAATTAATTTTGTAGCTTTGTCTCGCACTTTCTGTGGATTACCCTAATTGCGATCCCAAACCAACTCCAAGCAGCTAAAATGGTTGTTTTGGAAGGCGGCGGCGGCGTTGTTACCATCGGTAACAACCAGTACCTTCAACCGGATTATCTGGCTCCATTGCCGACAACGGTTAGTATTTTTTGAGAAAAAATAGGAAAATATTTTATTTCTTCTGAAAATCTGAAAATTGAAAATCCGATTCTTTCGAGTGCAGATTTGTAGAAAAATATAAATTCAGAAACAAGTTTCTAACTAAGTATCTTTTATTTTTATTTTCTACCACAGATGGATGCCAAAAAGAGTCCTTTGGCTCTTCTCGCACAGACCTGCTCCCAAATCGGAGCTGACTCCTCGGCCGTCAAGCCTCTGATGGCCATGGACAAAAATAAGACAAAGCCCGGCGCCTGCTCCTCGTCTTCGAACTCGTCGAGTTCCTCCAGCAGTGCCGAGATCTCAGCGGCCAAGTCGCCCTCCGGCCAGGCCAAGTCGCCCAAATCGAGCACCCCGATCAGCGCCACAGTCACCGGAAACAGCTCCTCCATGGGCAGCAACCACAGTACCACCACAACCAGTGAAATCAAACTGGCCTTCAAGCCCTACGAGACAAATGTGCTGAGCCACCAGAACCAGAACACTTTCAAGAGCAGCTCGTCCTTGGATGCAGAGCCCACACGCCCCAGCTCCAAGAGCTCTTCGTCCGCCCAGGAGCGAGTGCCATCCCGCAGCAAGTCAAACGCCACGCCCACGGAGGGCGGCAAGTCGGAGGCCATGGGCCACGATTCGGCCAGTCGGAAGACTGTCTCCCCGTCGGGATCTTCGCAGCGCGGCGCCAGCCCCATTGTCCGGTCGGGCATGGAGGTGCTAAACAACGCCAACGGAACTGCCCAGCACCCCAAGGAGATGAGCAGCATGGCGGCGGCTGCTGCTGCGGCTGCGGCCGCTTACAAGGCTGCCGGTCCATATGGACTGAATCCCCTCTCCGCCCTGTGCTGCCCGCCCGGAATGGAGCAACACGCGAATCCAGCTTTCCGGCCGCCCTTCGCTGGAGGATTCTCGCACCACCACGCTGCCATGCTGGCTGCCGCTGCCAACGGTGGCTATCCCGGCGGAGCTCCGGGTGGAGGACCAGCTGGCCAGCCCAACCCGTACATCAGCTACCAGAGGATTAAGACCCCGGCCGGAGGAGAGGCCATTGTTCCGGTATGCAAAGATCCCTATTGCCCCGGCTGCCCCTACTCGGCGCACACGCAACAGATGCTTATGGGTGCCCCCTGCCCCGCCGGCTGCACCCAGTGCGAGCACCAGAAGTACGGCCTGGCGATGGCCAGTGCCGCCGGACTTCCGCCAGCCCATCCTTACTCGCAGGCGGCGGCGGCTGCAGCTGCCAACGCAGCGGCCGCCCGCTCGGCCCCCTACGTCTGCAGCTGGGTGGTGGGCGATGCCTACTGCGGCAAGCGGTTCCAGACCTCCGATGAGCTCTTCACCCACCTGCGCACCCACACCGGAAATCTGTCGGACCCAGCCGCCGCGGCCGCTGCCCTTGCGCAGTCGCAGGCTCAGTCGCTGCTGGGAACACTGTTTCCGCCATCCGCTCTGCGGGCCGGTTATCCCACGCCACCCCTGAGCCCCATGTCGGCAGCGGCGGCGGCAGCTCGCTACCACCCATACGCCAAGCCACCGCCAGGTGCTCTGGCCGGAGGTCCGTCGCCGTTCGGTGCCGCAGGAGCCTTCAACCCGGCTGCGGCGGCGGCAGCGGCCGCCCTCGGCCCCTACTACTCGCCATATGCCATGTACGGCCAGAGGATGGGAGCCGCGCATCAGTAAGGAGTGGTCGCCAGTAGAAATACCAAAAAGGACTAGAATCGCAAAACCAGAACAGAGGATATGGAAGTGGTGTGGAAGAAGCCCAATATTTTACTTAAAACCAGACACGAGTTTGAGATAATTTCAAAGAAAAACAAACATGATTGCAAAGGCTGACATCTCTGGCTTTTGTGCTATTCTGTGATACTAAACTGTAGTTTAAAGAGCGCTAGTTACACTTAAGTTTGACAAACCAATAATATTCAGCCACCTAAAAGTAGCAACAGCAAATAGCAGGATAACTTCTCTCACCATTAAATGTCTACGGTAATCAAATCAGAAGGATACACTGCATCGAACCGAGGAAGTTCGCTCATTTAATTTGTTCTCAAAGTTCAACCAAAGTTTTAAAGTCTTAGCCCAAAACACACATTCTATGACTTCCAATTTTTGTTAATGAAAAAACCCATTGCTGAGATGTTTAAACCTTGTTTTAGTTTTAGTTCGCTTCGACTTAAGTTCTACAAACTATTATTAATCTTATCTACAAGCATACATCCAACAATTGAAATACTGTTCTTTAAGTCATCTTATATGTAAGCATAAAAAATATATGTAATAACAACCAATCGCAAACAAACAAAAAAAAAAATGCAAGAAAAACATGAAAAAAACAACAGAAAATAAAAATGAATATTTCATATAATTATGTATTGTGTGTAAATTCTTTAAACATAAAAATAGATTTGCTATTTACTCCTTGATGTACGCAAAGCCACAACACGATCTACACAAGAAGTCACAGAATATCAACCAATTCGTATAAAACTGAAAAATATACAAGAAGAAAACATTCTGAAAATATAAATCACAAATCTTTTACTTTTGAACTCAGCTTCTTGCAGCTGAGATGGGGCTTTGGAAAAAAAGAACAGCCATTATTACTGACTGGTACTTGCTCGCTAAGTACCCTGTGGGCCATAAACGCTGCTGATAGTGTGCTCAGCTCGATTTTCAATTATATTTACATAAGCTCGAGTGGCAAATTCCTGGAGCGTTATCAGTGTCATTAAAGCTCTTCAAGGGAATTGCGGCTATGGGGGTTCCAAGAACAGCATCGTAATAGATCGTACATTTTTGGTGGGGGCTTTCAGAAAAATAATATAATATTCAACATCTTGCAGTCACCCGAATCAAATCAAGCCCGAATTTGAATTTCATGAATGCGCCTTGGGGAGGGGGAGCAGGAAAGACTTGATTGAGAAAACCTAAAAAAAAAAAAACAACTGGCGACAGTCGTAAAACACCCAAGCACAAAATTAAAAATCAATAAAAATCACATTTGTACAAACAAAGTATAAAGTCAAACTCAATTGGAATTCAATGGGCGACTCGAATAAGCAATGCATCTATATGTATCTGTGCATATAATAAAAAAAAGCGCTGATAAAGCGAATGACAGACATTATTCAGAGACAATATATGCTTTGAAAATATCAAAATGTGAAACCAACTCAACAACTCAAACTTGGGCAACCGTCAGGCGGGACAAAAGCAATATCGATATTTCGAGTGTATCTCATAAATAAATTAATTGTGACAATATTCAATTGATTTGATTTGAAATTATCGCATTCAGCTGTCAAATGCTCAACGACAACGCTCTTTCAATTGTTTCAATTTCCATCAGATTCTTTCAACGACTGTTTCCATTCCGTCTCTAACCCACTTGAATGATATTTCTGATTTCTGATTTGATTTTGATTCGATGTGAACACAAAAATCACTTGGCCCCATTTACCCATGCGGGAGCATTTTGTGTTTTGTGCTTCGGAAAGGGGGGAGAATCGAAAGCGTTAGATTTATCAATACTTGGCCATCATGTTGGCAAATGAAGTGGCAAAGTGCATGGCGATGATTTCGATTCAAAGGGAGAATATTCAATTTTTAATGGAAATTAATTTACTATGAAAAAACCTTCATAAAGAGCAACACTCAGTCGATTTTAGAATTTTATTATTTTTTTCATCAACATCACACATATCATATTCCGATTTATTAATCACACTTTTCATTTCCCCCCACCACCACTTCGTTGAAAGACTATGCTGATCTGATTGTCTGATTTGTGCTTTTGTTGTACCAAATTGAATTTATTTACATGCATCATATTTCTTTCTCTGCCGAGCTGTCCATGTTAAACAATTTGTTTTGATGTCAACACTCGCACGACGTCTCCAGCAGCAACAAAGCAACCAAACAACATCAAAAGCGGCCACAGCAGCAGAAAACCAAAACCAAAAACCGAAAACTGAATACCGAAGCAACAACAAACTCAGCAACTTTTCGTTATAAATAGGCAAGCTCTGATTGTGGGGCTTGGTCGTCGGGGGGCCGACGGAATGGGGCCTGCTGGATCCAACGACGAAGAGATCTTGCATCGTGCTGAAGTTTCCACTTTGACGGTCGTCGTTCAACCGGCTCGTTGGTCTAGGGGTATGATTTCCGCTTAGGGTGCGGGAGGTCCCGGGTTCAAATCCCGGACGAGCCCAAGTGAAGTACTTTTTTATTTTATTTATTTTTATTATTAAATAATGACATTATTTTTTTCCTATTTTATTATCAATTAAAAAAGTCACACAAATTCTGAAAAATATAATTAAAACTGTACTTTTTAAAAATTAAATACAATTCTTTATAAAAAATTTATTGGTTCACTTTAGGTCAGCCACACGAGCTTTCAGAAGTTGACTCATAATTATTAATACCCTGCAATAATCGGACTGTTTAAAACCATAAATATAAATATATATGACAAGGTTTATGTTTGCAAAAACTTTTATGGTATCCTATGACTTTCGGCGTTGCCCCTGTCTAAACCCCAATTTATGGGCTCATGAAAATTAAGTCTAATCAAAGGTTGTGATTTTCTTGAAGGGGCCGCTAAAATACTCTTGTACACTTGGCAGTTCTTGGACACGTAGGGACTTAAAATCTTAGTGCCCAGGCAACGTGATTCAGCTTCAGTTTACAATACCAGCAAGTTACATTTTTATATATTTGTTAATTGGATTTGATTTTTATTGAAGGATGTACCATTAAAGTTGAGTCATATGCGACTTAAATATGTTCTATAAATAAGCTAGGGTGTTTAATTCTTCGGCATTTGATGATGTGATTTTTATTGGCTATGATTTTGCTTTTTCATTTGGTATTTTCGGGCGGTTTCTTATTTATTGGCACCTTAGCACTGACAAGTTGTCGTATAGTCATTGCTATAAAGTAATAAAAGCAATTTTATTGGCCAAGTCGAGTGTGATATGTTAGGGATTAAACGACACGAATAGCTTATGGAAAAATTTATGATCAAAATAGAAATATGTTTGGAATGTGGACTTGCCTTAAAAAACTTTATAAGAAAATAATATTTGTGATCAATATACCATTCAATAATACTGTTTTTATAGTTTTTACTAACATTAATGGATCACAATTTTTAGCATCGTATTTTTTTTTCCATTCGCGTTTCCGCAAGACTAGGCAATCATCTATAAATAATACATAAATTGTCGACTGAGATTGCTTGAGAATTATTTGTGGCCCAATACAATGTCGACAGCTGGTGTTTTGCCGTGATTTCGCCTCGTGAATTGATATGGCAATGCACAGACAAGTTGACGTTTAAGGTTTGATGATTTATTTGCAGACCTACTGGTGATTTATGGGGTGTCGTTTGAGATTAGCGAGTGGGTCTCGAGGGTTAGAGTATGAGCGCTCCACCATTATATAAACTGATAATGCCTCTAGCAAGTAATAAGTATTTCCAGATTAACAATGATTGAAACAGCTGCCAAGCCAGACTCCAGAGCGTAAAGTTAAGACCAGCTATTTTTACATTTATATTTAGACTATTTGGCCATACATTCAAGAAAAAGAACATAAAGAACTTGTTGCCACATTCCATCCCTAAACGGTTTGCCATCTAATAGGTGGCAAGACCCGCTCGCATGTCAGCCATAAATTAAACAACAACAGCAGCTGACTGATGTCAGTGTTGTCGTCGCAGCTAATTAACAGTTTTGTTATAAATTACACCGAAAGTCATTACAATTTTTCGTATTCTCAGCTCGGGTTGCCGTTCTCCTGGGTCGACACACCCATTTGGGGCGTCAATCATGCGTAAACTGACACAGATGTGACATCCAGCGGGGGCCGACTGCTCGTAAGTGACTAGCGGATACATTTGTATCTTTTAGTTGTTCCCAAGTGTGTGTGTCTGTGTGTGCCCAATGTCAACTGACAACTCCTTAATAATTTTCCATAGGCTTGTTTTTCTTTTTTCTTTTTTTTTTGCCCTGTGAAATTTACGCCCCCGCTGCGAGTCCGAGAAGGCCTGGTCCCATCTCTCCATCTCCCATGCTGTGTTGTGACTTTGTTGCTGCTGTTAGCCTGCTTTGTTTGAATATTTATGGCTTCCTCGTGTCATTTTCATAATGTTGCGTTTGACACTTTCCCTCTGGGCTCCACCGCTCACAAAACGACATACACCAACAAAAATCACACATCCCATTCACATTCCATATTATCTTACAATATTATGGGCGGTCGGTTAGGGATCGCCTCTTTTCTTCCCACTTTCGGTTACCAATTTTGCATCTCCATCGCACTCGAGAGCCATCCCCCCTTTTTAAGATTTTGTGTAAAATGTTTTTGAAAATGACATTTGTTGCTGACACAACGACAACTGTCAGCGGGCACTCGGTAGCCATTTATTTTGTTTTCTTTCCTGGGTTAGGCAGCGAAAACATGAACATGCTGGGACGGAAAATATTCTATCATGTTGGTTCCTTTTGTTGGTATTCAGCTCTCATTTCAATAAAAATAGTTAAAACCAGTGTTTGGCTATAGGATTTCTTAGCTATATCTTTTGGTTTAAGCTTTTAATAAATATATTTTGACACTTTTTCACATTTCTGTTAATATAATATAAATCATATTCATAAGTATTCCGCTTAAAAATCTAAAAATATATTTTGGACTTAGATTTTGATCCAGGCTTATGGACATTTTATCAAAAATCGGACGAATAGTGGCTGAATACATTTTTGTAAATTTAAAAGGTGATCCTATTCTGCTTACAAGTAGTCTGTGGAAAATATTTCAATCGCTGTCAAGTTGTAGCCCCATGAACCTTTTTGTATAACATTCAGTCTAACACAAGCCTTACACCAGTAAGTACTACTTCTCCTGTTTCTATTATTTAATATTTTTTTCAAAAATATTTTTATTTTAACAATATTTTTTTTTAACAATATTTTTTTTTCCTACATTTCAGATTTTTATAAAACTATTTATTGTACAAATTAATAATTTTGTATTTGAAATGGTAAGTACTCTATTGATCGAATATTTAATTTTATTTTAACAGATTTTCAGTTTTTTACTTTTATATATAAAAAAAAATTACAAAAAAAAAAAATTAATAAAAAAGAAAAGGAGAACAATCAATCAAATTCCAGAAAACCAACCAAGGAGTCATTGTCATGTCAAGTCGGTCACTGGGGATGTTTGCAGTTTAAGCTTCGTTTCTTATAAGAGGGTAATTAATTAATAAATAATTTTATTAAAAAATATACCCAAAAATTATTTTAAATATTTGACATACATTTATTTAGTTATTTTAATGTTTTAAACATTTTTTTTTTTGTTTTAGGAAAAATTTCAAAAAACATGACATTTTATGTATGTATGCATATACCGGGAGCGGAGTTCCAGGGGTTGTCTATACCAGGGGTAAAAATCAGTCTGTCCAAGGAGCCTTAGTTTCAAAATATATTCTTAAAGTGAGTATTTTACTTTAAAACAAAACATTAAATTAATTTTTATTTTGGTTTTTAGGCAGCTACACAAATAAACAACGCAGTATTTAGTAGTAGTATTTATATTCAACGCAGTTTCTGGGGAGAAAATCGAACTACGAATTATTTTTGAATTACTCTATTATATTTAATGCATTTAAAATGGTAAGTATGTTTAACCAAAATTAAATATATTGGTTATATTAAATTATTTTTTTATTTATTATTTTTGTTTTCTTTATAACACACAAAGCACTGACCTTACCAGGAACGGCACTTCTGAGAATATCTTGTTTTTTTTTATGTTACTTAAAACTGAGTGTTAACTGAATCTACAAATTATTTTTACAATATTCAATGCATTAAGATTTTTTTACGAACACGCAACACTATAAAATATGTCGGGAAGCCATCGAGAGAACATATGGTATGTAGGGGCATGTAGAACTGATACTCATCAGGTTCAGGAAACAGGAACAGAGCATACAGTACTGGCACTCATAAAAGATTTGAATGTAAGTGATTTACTTAATCAAGTTATATACTTGATTATATTTTAATATATAATAATTAAACTTTATTTTACAGTTAAACAAAAAAAATCTGCCGACTAAGGTCAAGAATGACGAGTCACTTGTGAATAAATATCCCCACCTTCTGGTTAAATTTGCTGTCCATACCACAGAAGTAATACACGCCTATCTGTGTGTTGTTTAATACAAATGCTCACGACACACTATTCTTAAAAATATGTAAATGTTTGGAACTTACACGATACAACCACTAAAAAAATATTAAATTCTTGGTAAACATAAATAAACATACACAAAAAAAAAATATGTATGCCTTTTCATTAAATTGCAAAACAGTACAAGGGGAAAAGTGGGAGTGCACAGTTGATATGATGAGCTAAAAAAATAAATATTTTTGTATTAAATCGCCTAAAGAATTTATGGCCCTGCAAGGCCTTCCAACAAAACCAGGGCATAAATACTTCAGCTGTGATTATTATTGCACCCGACAAGCCACCCAGTAAAGTATCCAAATGCTGCTGAAATCGACGACAAACCCAAAATTCCCGACACAAAGTCGATTTAGATGTGGGGGAACTTCAAAGCCAACCGCCAGCGATAGGTTTTTCTTGGGTAGCCTGGCGTAATATATTATTGATAGATAAATCAGTGATATATATGACACTGGTCACTGGCGGGCTTTGATTTCGTTAGATTGTAAATTACCCAAAAACAAAGGAACACCGAAAGAGCGGAAGGGTTTTTTATTTAAGTTTTGTTAGAAATGTTTGCATTGCGTGGGCGATTTGATAAAACAGGTCAGTGAGTGGAAAAATGTCAAAGGCCATTAGGGCATAATATACAAATTATTCTGTCTTTTAGTTCTCGGATGACTTAATTTTTATTTTCTAAAGTAAATATGTTAAATTAAATTAAATTAAATTCAAAGCTAAGGATAACCTCTTACTAAAAATAAACAGTAAGAATTTTTTTTATGTGATATTTTAATTATACATTTCTTTATGCCAGTTTTCATTGGCACTCTCATACCCTGCATAGGGTACACATGAAAATAAGCTTTGAACTGATGCCCCAACAGGGCATATATATTTCATGGGCTGTCAAGATAACCGATAGGCTAAAGCCGGCTGTTAAGTGTGATATAGTCAGAAGTTTCTAAATATGGGCTTGACCTGCTGCTGTTGATTCCTGTTTCTGTTGCTGTTAGTGTTTGTTGTTGTTGTTGGCCGATGTTGGCCACATTATTAAGCCAATTCAGCGGCAGCAGATAAATAAATAAAATTTGAAACATTGCCGCAACAATAAAAGGCGACAGTACACGATTTATTAAACGAAGCGGCTGCTGATGGTGTTCGGACCCAAATGAAGAGGCAAAACAACACCAGCAACAACACCAACAACAACAACATAAAAAAAAAAGCAACAACAAAAAAATAACTACAAAAACAACAACAAAACAACAGTGAGGACGCGAACAGCAGCTGCTGCCACCGTGTTGTTGCTCACATTACTCTTTTTGGCGTGGCCCAGGCTGGCAGGCAGACAGAGAGAAACCGACAGCAGATACAAAGATACAGATACATTTGCTGTATAGAAAACACACAATACTTGAGGTTGAGGCCAAAATGACTAATGACCAGCGATTATCAAGCGATAAAAGGCAAAAGAGAGCCAGCAGCAGCAGCAACAGCAGCACCAACATCACCGGCTCCAACAACAAACATAATTTATTATTGTTTTAAACATTTGTGTTTTGCGCTCAAACGAGATACATTTGTCTCCTCCATGCCGTTTAGAAACCTTTTCTGGCTTTTGTTCATTAAGACACTAATAAAAAGCGAAGAAGGGCCATCGAATACTCCATGCATATTTATAAAAAAAATAAGCCATACAAATAAAAGTGGCGTTAATGCTAATTTATAATCAAAGGTAAAGTATCCAAACAGGAATATGCCTTTACCCTTTAACTATTTTTAGTTAGTTTAGTCTGAGGTAATTAAAAATATTCCTTTTTAACCTTGTATGGCCTAGGTCGGGCCACTTGTAATTAGCTGTCCCTTTGCGCCAGGTTTCTACTGTTTCATTTTACTACCTTGTGAGTGTTGGCTACCAGAATTAGTGGCGAAAAAGGCACAAGCCGCGGTAGCTCCACAGAACAGACAACAATAATAAACTTTAAGATTCATGAAAGCGGCAAAAAGAAAATAAACAGTCAACGCGACGTAAATTTAAGACTTTCCGTATTTCATTTCTTTTGTTGCTTGGCTGCTCTAACCGGCCTTTTTCAGACTACTAACAGGCCAAAAACTATACAAAAAATATATATACAAATACATAAAAACATCACTATCAACGAATTTGAATTTCCCTGTAATAAACACAATTAGGGACATGATATATTAAGTTGTAACATTCATGTACAACCTATCTTTATAACTTTTTCCAACGATTTTTTTAAAATAAAAATCAAAACTCTCTTTAAGATTAAAATGTCTTATCATACTCTTACTAAAGGGTATCAAAAAGGGGTAAAAAGATCTCGGACCGATTGTTGAGGTTTTGGTTGCGTTGTAAATGTGAATTGGCCGAAATTAAAAATATATTTATGACTTAAGAGGCTATAAATTTTGTTTCTTGTTAAAATTCTATTGTTTCTGTGTCTGCCGGTCTCTGGAATTTGCTGCTTTTGACTTTCTTTTCTCTTTATTTATTTATTTTAGGTATTTTTTTGTTTTTCTTAAATTATACACTCAATCGTGGCTATAAAAATTGACCAACAGTTGTGTGCTTATGACATACGATCTTGTTAATAAAATACCATTCTATAAGGTCAAGTTTAATTTTTTTAAATTTTTGTCTTGTAATAATTACTTTATTTTAACAAAATTTTTTTATAAAATAGATTTGTCTATAAGTTCAGACTGAATTATTTTTTTGTAAGAATAATATTTTAAGATTAGTGACAACACACAGGCTAGACAATCCACTAAATCTCGTCACCTCCAGATAGTTTATTAGCTTCTGACACTTTGTCGCACCACAACAACCCAAATAGACAAACAGAATAGGAGAGATTATTCTGTTTCCGCCAGCCGTTTTTTGGGGCGCCTGAAATGAAATTGATTTCATAACGAGACAATTATGTTGGTCTAATCTCAGTGGAGGGCAATTAAAATGGAAATTTATGGTCCTAATGTGCCACATAGTCAGCGAGTTCAAGAGCTTTTGGATTCAACTCGACTGTCATCGGCTTATTATATTTTATACAATTTTACGAGCCTCACAAGTTTCAAGTGATAATCTATTTCGAAGGGCAATTAAAAATTTGTTTGACTAACAGTTCTGGGTGGTTTCTATTCCCCCTATTTATTGTTGACAGATGATACTTGAAAGTACATCGTATATGGTTAATATAAACTAGGCAATCTGAGGATATAGTTTAATAGATAACATAGCGACAGCTTCTTGATAAAATATATTTATTTATAAAACGCGCAATTCTTTTTTACACTGTTTTCTTTATTATTTAATGTTGAAACAACGTATAATCTTAGTTTGTTTCAGAGCCAACCCACAGGCAAGTTCATACACTCCACTTGTCTCCTCCAGTCACATTATAAGCTTCTGACATTATGCGGGTTATCCAAGACATATATTCAGTCACATCAGTATAGACCGCTACCGAGAAGTTTCCACAACTCTCATCTCCATAGCTGACGATGCCGGCCTGCACATGGCGCTGGTTGCCTTTGTACTGACCCACGAAGGATAATGGACCTCCAGAGTCGCCTTGGCAGCTATCGGCTCCTTGGGCGTCCATGCAGAACTGGGTGTCTCCGATTCTGAAGCCGTTGTCGATGCACTTAGTCGCCTCCACCCGATTAAGGATTGTCTTCATAGGGACATCGGAGAGTGTTCCGTTCTCCGTTAACCCCCAGCCGCATACCTCAAACTGTGTTCCGGCCTGACACTGCAATTGGACGTCCGGATACAGTGGCAGGCATATGGGTCTAATAAAATCGGTGAACTGGACCGGGTGCTTAAGTTGGATTAACGCAATGTCGTTTTTCATTTTTACTCGTAAGTAATTTTCGTGGGGGATCATCCTTTCGATCGGAATGTTCAGAGGGTCGTCTATGCATACCCGATCCTGGCCAAACATCATACAGTCTTTCGAATTGCTAATGCTATGCTCTCCGAATCGGACGGATGCACTAGGAATAAAGGTATTAGTTGTTGATTTTATAATTTAGTTATTAATTTGGTTCTTACAGGTTATCGTGAATACAGTGCGCAGCCGTCAAAACAAAGTCTGTTTAAGAAATAAGTGCATCTGTAAAGATATTGAAATTAAACATACAATATAACTTACTTGAACTAATCAGCGTGCAACCACATTTGAACTGTTCTCTGTAGTCTAGTTTAGGATCAGTAAGGTTGTACTGTAGCAAGCATAACCAGGGTCGGGAGCCCATACGAATTTTTCTGCCATGAACAACCTTTACATCAGTGAAAAGTCCGCAGGTGTCGTCGTTTTTCTTAAGCAGGTCAAATACATCAGAGTCAAGGGGATCTTCGCAGCAAAAGGTTTTACGCTATTTGGGTATTGAGTATGTATAAGAATTTAAAGGAAAACTCAGAAGGTTTACTTACATCTACGCCGCATCTATGAACTGATTTTTTAAGAAAATCCTCCTTTTGGGTCAGTGGCTCTCCGCTCCTGATCTTTTTTAAAATGAGTGCCAAAGCCGGACATTCCCTAGGTCTCAAGCATTTTCCAACTTTGTTGTCATGGGTCGTGCAACGTTTTGAATCTACAGGAGCAATCCCAGCTAGGCCCAGAATGAGGCAGATTACCAGAAGCGGAAACTGCAAACCGAACATTCTTTCTTCGCTGCTTTGAGTGTTCTGAACATCGACTTTGTTTTTAAGCAGGGGATTATCCCACTGCCCACTCATTACTGATAGCATAAAATGTTAATGATTCAAGTGTATAAGGGTAAAGTAATTCTTGGAAAGCCTTGATAAAATTTAGGAATTTTTTTGGCTTTTAAATAATGCTTATAAAATTGCTTCTTAAAATAAGTGCGATTTAAGAAAAATATATTTTAAAATATAAGAAAAAACCAAGAAAATCTGTGGCATTTATGACTGATAATAGACGTTATCGTCATCACAAGGTCTATGAGTGTGTTTTCTTTGGTCATAGACCTTTATAAGGTCATATGAGTTCTAGGAAAGGGCGTTAATTAAATTTAGGAATTTTTCTGACTGTTAAATATAGCCAGAAATATTTAGAAAATATATTTTAAAATTTAAACAAAAACCAAGACAATCTGTGGTATTTATGTGACTGATAACGGTCGTCACATCGCAAGGTCTATTCTATGACTGTGTTTTCTTTAAAAACATGACATGGCAGCTATAGTGTAAATTAAAATAATAATATTACTGGCATTAGGCTATTTAGCTTCCGAGGCAAAGATAATAAACAAAATTTGTGAGGAATTAGGGAGAGAAAACTGCGCAGGAAAACAAGATAAATCGTTTTAGTGGGTCTCGTGATTGTCGTGCCGCCCCATGACAAGGTCTTTCGTTCTCGAATTAGAGTGGATCTGTCTAAATTTAGTAGTCATTTGGCTAGTTTGCTTGCTCATGTCATTTAGATAGCGAGCAGACACTGGAAAATGTAGAACACTGGACGCTGAGAGATTGTAGATAATCAGCTGGCTGTGTGGAACGAGATCAGACTAGAAAGTGCGGGCCATAATGCACCATTATATATCACCACTGATGGTAATATTCTGTTTGCGGATCTTGGCCACTTTTATCTCACAGTTTGTATAACTTAAACCAGAAATTAAAGCCTTGGCAATTTAAAAGATTATAAGCATAAGTCATTTTAGTCTTAATGAAAGGGATTGGTGAATTTTTCATTCCATAATTACTGACATATTGATTCTAAATTAGCTCTTAATGTTAGAGGAGCTTCTCCAAATATTAAACAGATATGTACAAGATACAGAAACTTTGGAATACTCCTACTAAAAGTCGGCGGTCAGTCAGAACTGTCAGGCAGTTAAGCCGCCCACCATTTGGTCGAGCAGCCTGGATCAGTCCTCCGCTCTGACAGTGGCACTCTTCTCTTGGCCGTTTAATCACAGTATTAACTCTTTTGCTGAGCCGCCTGTCACTCATTTTGCTGTCCAACTGGGGGAATATCAAAGGGGAAAGGGTGGCAGCGTGGTATGGCCTGGTGGTTCAGTTGTTCAGTGGTTGTGGGCCAGACGTCGATGTTATAAACACTACTGTCTTCCAACTGTCAAGTTGGTCTAAGTTTTTGAGCGCAAAATAAAAGCCGACTTGACAGCTGAACGGTCGACCAACTCATGTTGATGATGATGATTATTATGTATTTTGTAGTTTTGCCGTTTCATCAAGCACTGAAAACAATTCATTAAAATTTTTTACATATTTTCATTAAAAAATAAGAATTAAAAATAGGGTAGACTTTAGATGTTTTTGTCTAATAAACCTTAATTATTTTAGTTCCAGTCTCATGAAGTTTTTTCTCAGTGCTTGGTGGCTTAGTAAGACTGTCGGACACAAATACAAATACTGAGTCAGTCGCCCATGCACATTCGTTTAGGCTTTTAAACGCTTAGGTCGTCTTATGTTGGACTTAACGCGCTGCCCGATGCGAAAAGCCAACAGTTGGACAGCTGAAGACGCCTCAACTCGATGGCGACGGCGGCGGCAAAACTTGAAATGAATTTGGATGCTTCGGATAATGAAAACGAAACGAGGCGCGCGCTCCAAAAAAAAAAAAAACGACCGGACAGGGGGGAACAAAAACAAAAATCGAAAAAAAGTCAAGTAAAATCCCAACCGACACAAAGAATAAAAACGTCAAAAGTGATTTTGCGCTTTGGTCAGCAGCAGAAACGGCGACAGCCCCAAAGCGAAATCAAAAAGTGCCGCCGCCGTCAGCACCTCCCCTAAGGCCGCCCCGCCTAAGCCACCTTAGTCCCCCCCTTCCAATAAAAAGGCCTGTGGCCGGCCGGCCAGTCAGTGTCCACTGTTAACTGTTTTGTACAAGCTGATGAGCTTTTGGGCGCTTGGGGGATTTTGACATTTCATTTTTTCGATTTTGTTGGTACATTCTGGGTTCAGGTTTCTTTTTTTGTTTGTTTGGTTAGTTACTCCACTTTTCCTTAGGCCATGTAAGGACTGGCCTTATATTAAGATTCGCTTGGTTAAAGTCAATATATAGATACCACCTGTATCAACTTATAAACGAGGTTGTAGCAAGTCAACCTTAAATGAATGACCTCTGGCAACCTAAATAATCAATAATTGCCAAGAAACGAAATATTCACAGCTGAGAAATTTCAATTAGTTTCCCATGCAATTGGGATTCGGGGTAAAGCCTGTCATTCCCCACGCACCCACTGCCCCCACCGTCGCACGCAAAAAGTGCAGGGTTTCGCGGGCCGTTTCTTGCAAAAATACCAAATCATAAAAAAAAACTGTTTATAAATTATTGATTAAATGACAATGCGATGTCAGAATTTGATTTATGGCCTGGCAGAGAGACACGCAAACGGCTGGCTGGGAGATGGGAGCTGGGAGCCAACACATTGAAAAATGTTTGGGCAAACAATAAAAGATGGCCGTCGTCCCCCCGCCGAGCGATTTATGACAGCAAATTATACACGAGAAGGAGCTCCATGGCCCCACGAACTGCGTGGGTCGCAGTTACACAACAACGGCCGAAAAGAAAACGCCATAAAGATGGCCCCGTTGGGTGGTGGAGTATAAATTTATCACTCGGCCAGCAGCGAAAAAAGTGCCATAAAGTCGGTGATCAATCAAAAATTACGAAATGACTGAAAGGAAAAAATAATTGGGTAATAGCTAAGGCCCACTCCGGCCAAGGTATAGAATTTCGCTACAGCTACTTTCAATTAACTGTTTAAATATTGAACTTTTTTCGAAAAATAATACGTCAATTATGGTGTATTCAAGAAGCACTTAAAAATAAAGCCAATTGCTTTTAATGGAAACCTATCATGAATATCTAATTATGGAAATATTTATCAACAAGCCCCTACGGCCATTTGTCACACTTAACTATTGGTCTTAAACTTAAGAACTTGGTAGTTTCAATATGTCTGGGAATTAGGGGCAAGATCAATGGCGCTAATGAACTGTTTCAAACCTAAAGCCTCCATATAAGTTGGAGGTAAATACCTGTAGTATATCCTTTAAGAACTAGAGCGCCTGCAGTTTTCGTTATCAAGCAGTCGGATGTAACTGAGTGACGCTATCTTAAAGGGGGTTTTTCTTATTTCAACACCCAGTGATAAGTAAATATATTAAGCAGGAAAAGTACATATTAGTTAACATAACCTTAGTGAAAGACTATGAATAACGTTCGTAAATCTAGATTGATATTCATCTGATAACTAGTCGAGGCCTAAGCTTGTTTTTACAGGGAAACCAAAACCGAATCAGTTCCCTTTCTGCTTTTCATTTGCTCACTTAAGATGTCTTCCACTCTGTAATCTACAAGTAGTTGGGCTTTAATCAGCTCTCGCTGTGATATACGATCCGAGACCCTAATACTTGTTGGGGACAAACAAAGTGCAGGCCACAAGTATCCGCCATATATAAGAGTAAGTTTGATTTACAGCGGACATCATCTGTCAGATGGGGGTGTAGGTGAGGTGTAAATACCGGGGATTATGCTCCTACGAACGCTACTGGGCTCTTGGCAAATAAGAATCAGAGGCAGGCACTTGGCCAACCACTTTCGAAACCCTTTTTTTCCACATCTTCTGGTGGAACAACTGTGCTAATATTTGCCAAACATTCAGCGCTCTCCGGGCGATATGATATGAGTAAGTTGCTCGGCCAGTTGAGCCACTGGAGTACACTTCAGATGCGCCCCTGGCTCTATGCTGTTTATCAAGTGTAACACGCCGTGTCTCTATTTGTTTTCCAACACTCGGGTATCTGGCTAAAGTTGATTACAAATCCCGCTATATGGCAAACTCTGCTGTCTGATGTCGGATGTCTGATGTCTGTCCCTCTTGATTTCGACATACAATAACTGAAAAAGATTTACGGCATTCCGGGTATCGCTCTATCTCAGTTCACCCGTAATTTTCAGTTTACAGATTTCACTTTTTATTTGTATAATTTATTTATATAATTTTTGCTTTATTTTTTGGCCTGTGTAAACGAGGGAATATAAATCTGCACGTCAGGATGGTGGCACCCAGTTGATTTACACCAAATAATGCGCATTTTTCTGGTGTTTAACAGGCTTAATGTCTGTTCATAAGTCCAGGGAGAGCTCACTGTGGGACTGACTGTGTTTGGGTGTCGCCGCGCTATAAAATATATTAACCAAACTGATTTATTGCATTTTGATAACCTCTCAGCTCTCAGTTCTCAGCTTGTCGGGCTGCTCCATTTCATATGGGTTGTCTAGGGGCTGGGTGTCGGTCCACGGTTCCCGCGGATCTCAAAAGCGGAAAAGCTTCGAGCACAATTGTGCAAAATGTCAGGCACCACCAGATGAACGAAGAAGAACGCTCTTTATAATTGCCTGGGTAATTTATGATCGGCTTTAGCTATACACACAAAATAAATACATTAAAAATATAATATATACACGCGCTTAAATATTTATAGACCTTATTTTTACGGGAGAGTGTGCGCTTAATTGTCTTGTTTATGAAAGTATTTCGTGTTTTATTTTTAAAATTTACTTGTTTTTCAATTCATTTTAAATTATCTTTTTTTCCATATTTGATTTTGAAGACCCTATAGTTCCTTTAAAGTAGAACTTGTCACTGTCAGCTTTTAATTTTTTCTTGTCTGCAGAT